AATGGGGAAAAAATAAGAACCAAGATACATCATGTACAGGTACAAGCACCCAATGATAAATGTAAACGTACTATATACCTAAAATGTACCAATAAAAGAATTTAAGGAACAAAAAACATACAGCACAATATTGCTGGTTTAAAACAATAAACTTTTAGTTTTGTAAGTAGTGATATTTAACTTGAAAATGCATTAAATGAATGTAAATATTAAAAAAAAAAAAAAAAAAGAGGACAGACCCAAAGAAAGGTTGCCTGGAAGAAGTCCCTTGAAAACTAAAGGTGCATACAGGCTGCAGAGAGCAGTGGAAAATAATATTTAATGTAAATAAAGCAGGAATGCTGAATTAGTGTCAAACCAAGTAGACTTTAAGAGAAAAGTGTTATAAGAATTCATAAAGAAGTACATTTCATAATAATGAAGGGGCCAGTTCAAGAGGTTATGAAATACTGCAAATGGACCTACTAACAGATCTCTGAAATACAAGAAGTAAAACCTGACAAAACTCAAAATAAAGACAAATCTACAACTGAAGTTGAAGATTTTAATCCTTTTTGTGTAAGAGAACAGACTGAAAAACAGTAAAAATATAGAAGCCTGGAATCATATCATCAACCAAACCGATATAACTTGACATTTGTGAGAAAAACAAAAACAGCATGAGCCACAGAATATTTCTGACCACAGCATCCAGCACTTGGGAGGTAGAAGCCTGAGGGTCACCTCGACCTTGAATTTAAGGCAGCCTGGCTACATGTGTAGTACAAGGCCAACCTGAACGACGTGGAGAAACTTGTCTCAAAAAATCAAACAAAATATATAATGCTAGGACTCAAAATGAAAATCTTATCTGATAAATCCATAAATAATTTATTAAAACATAACACGTTGGGGGAGGGGATTTAGCTCAGTGGTTTCGCCGCCTGCTGCGCAAGCGCAAGAATCCGAGTCCGATTCCCGGTACCAAAAAAAATTTTTAAATAAAAAAATAACACGTTAAAAACAGATAGGTGAAAAAAGAAAACACTAGAGAAATTAGAAAATAGTCTGAACTGAATGCTATTGTAAATAACTTATTTGTGGAACATATGGCAGCACTTAAGAGAAAACTTATAGCTACATTCTTTAGAAAATATTTTTTTACCCTAATAAAGCAGAAAAAGAACAGAAAACTAGACTCATAAGAGAATAGAAATAATGACACAGAAAAAGACCAATAGAAGAGGAAAAACTAATAGGCGAATTCTTCAAACATAAATAAAATTGATGCACCTCTACTTTTACATACCAAATTACCACATCAGAAATAAAAGTCAGGACATTAGTGCATATCATCATAGAGATTAAATAGATAAGAGATGCTAGGAAAATTATACATCCATATTTTTTAAAAATGTGTCTTGGTTTATATCTCACACTATACAAAGGAAGTAACTCAGGACAGAGTTTTAGTGAACATTGCCTACTAGAAAAAAAAAAGAAAATCTTTGTGACCTTCAATTAGGCAAAGATTATTTAGGTAAGACACAAAAAGCGTGAATTATCAAAAACAAGTTTTTTAGCAAACTGAACTCCACACAAATTTAAAATTAAAAAATTAAAAATTTCGACTATGTAGAAAATTAAGACAAGCCCTAGACTGAGAAGAACAACTTATCTACTACATATCTGTATTAACTGCCTTCTGCTGTATCACCAATGATCCCAAATTTAGAGACTTCAACATACACTACTGCATGATTTCAGCATGTCAGAATCTGGGCCCAAGTCAGCTGGGCCCTCTGTTTCAGGACCTCTGAGAGCTTGTGGTCAAGGTCATGCTCAGGACTGCAGTTATCTGTGCCTGAGGGAGGGAGATTCCAATGATCCCTGCCACCTCCTGACTCATTATGTGCAATCCCTCCCCTCTAGTGTGGGCTGGACCTAGTAACTTTCTATCACTGAACAGATATTAGGGGTGTTACTGCCAAGTTTGAGTCAGATATGTATTAACTTCTTGAGGTGGCCATAATGATTGCCACAAACTAGGTGGCTTCTAATGACAGAAATTTATTCTCTGACAGTTGTGGAGGCTAAGTCTAAAGTCAAGGTTGTTGGTGGACCATGTTCTCTCTAGACTCTGGGCAAGGATTGAGCCTTCTTTGCTTCTTCCTCATCTCTGCTGGCTGCTGGCAACACTTGATATTCCCTGACTTGTATGTATATCATTTCAACCTCTGCCTTTTTTGTCACATAGCATTCTTACTGTGTGTCTCTGTCCAAATGTTCCTCACTCACAGAATCTGTGAGCAAATAATAACTGTTTTAAGCCATCACATTTTAGGTTTTGTCATACATCAACATGTAACTAATGCAAAATCTTTATCCAGAATATAAAGAACTTTTACCTTGACCTTTTAGAATAGCCAAAACAAGAATAAAAACATATTATATCAAATATTCTAAATGTATAGCAACTGGAACTTTTACACAGTGCTGATGGGAATGCAAAATGGTACAGCCCTTTAGGAAAGTTTGGCAGTTTCTCCTAAATTTAAACATGTATTTTCTGCATAATCAAGCAATCTCAGTCCTAGGTATTTACCTCCAAAATGAGGAACTTTGTCTACACAAAGTCCTGTCTAAAAATTTGTATCACAAATTTATTTGTAATTGCACAAAACTGGAAATCACCAAAATTAGCATCCATATATGGATAAACAAATTATGATATACCCCCATGAAGGAATGCTATCACCAATGAGACAGAACCAATTACTGACACATAAACAACAAATGAATCTCAAAAACATTATTCTAAGTGATACTGTAAATGCAAAAAAAATTTACTATATGATTCCATTTAATATGGTGTTTTGGAAAAGGCAAAACTACAGGGACAGAAATCAGATCACTGGCTGCAGGGGTTAAGGGTAGGAGGAGAGAGCTGATTACAAAAGGATGAGAGAGACCTTTTTGGGATGATGCCAGTGCTGGAGACCATGACTGAGGAGGTGATTACATCACTGTCTGTGTTCATCAAGACTCACAAACTGTGTATCTAAAATGAATTTAACTGTATGAAAATTATGTCTGAATGAATCTGACAAGGAAAAAATATTCTAGAACTCAGCAAACATAAAAAGGATTATATTATTGACCGAATGTATTATAAGGTTATTCCAACATTAGAAAGTCAATCACTATAAATCACTGTACCAAGAAAATAAGGAAGAAAACCTATACAGTTATCTTAATAAATGTATAAAAAGTATTTTATGAATACAAAATTTAGCACCCAATCATAGGGGGGTTCTTTGTAAACTAAGAACAGACCTTTTTACTCTTAGTATTCATATTCATACCCCTGTATCGCTCCCTCTCAAATATACCAGGATTGGTCAGTGTGACAAACAGGGCAACTCAAGTGACAGCATGCTACTTCTAGATTCCTTTTTTTTTGGTACCAGGTACCAGGGACCAAACTCAGGACCTTGCACTTGCGAGGCAGGTGCCCGAACCACTGAGCTAAATCCCCGGCCCTAGATTCTTTTTTTTTTTTATTAGGTTCTAAGAGACCCGGCCATTTCTATGGTTACTCTGTCCTCCTCTTAGATCACTCCATCTGGGGAAACACTCTGTCTTGTCTTGAGCAGACCTAGAGAGAGGCCCAAGCAAGGAGGAGTGAAACTTCTGAGCATCAGCCACTTGAGCCAGTTTGGAAGCCAGTCCTCTGCTCTGGCTGGCAGTATGGGGGCACCCTCAGGAGACAGCCTGGGCCAGAGCCAGGGTCCCTTAGCCAGGCCATGCCCAGACTCCTGGCTCTCAGAAACATGTGCAATAATAAATAATTGTTGTCTATAGCTGCTGAGTTTTGGGGTAATTTGTTACACAGCAATAGATAATTAATATGGTGGGTTACATAAAAAAGCAAAAACTACTTAGTAATGTGGTAACTAAGAATTACCAATCAGCAGGAGGGAAAAGAAGTTCTTAGGAATAAAAGTAATACAATCTTTCTGAGGAAATTATAAAACATAATTGAAGGATAAAGACTACTTCAGAAAATGGAGAGATATACAGGTATCTCTCACAATTTAAACTCAAGTTATGGGAACTCTGGAAATGAATACATTTCTTTTAAGGAAAATATTCATAATCCTGTACAATGGAAACAACACAAATATTCAGCTAGTGAAAAACTTATGTTTAAGCATAGTAATTATTTATGAAACCTACAAAGTTTCATAAAATGTTGAGGACATGTGTATTTTAAGGCTAAGTAGTTATTAACTGAAAAAGACTTGTAAAATATTCACACACATACAATAAAGAACAAATTTGAAATAAAATTAAAGTGTTGGTGTGTTAGACTCATGAATTTTTCCCTACAGCAATGAGAACATAAAAAACAAACATATAATAAACACACATTACAAAATAAAAATATTAACTAAAATGAAAATTTAAAAATTTAAAAGTAGGGAAGCACAAAATCCATTTTAGAAAAGTTATTTCCCAAATAATAGTCAAAATAAGGAGTCCTGATTTTAAAAGAAAAAGTTGTATTGGTTGTAAACTTCACTTGTATGTCATATATTATTACTTATTCCAAATACAAATGTAATACTTTGGAAAAAATCCTTTGCTTACCAATCTTCTGGTTTGACAGCAGCAGGATCAGGGATTTTTAGTCTTTCATCCCATTCATCAGGTTTTTTATCATTAGGATCATCAATTTCTCTGGGAGGATTGACAGGAGGAACCACATCTTCTAAGAGATTTCCTTTGTTTACAACTATTTGATCAATTAATACTTCAAATGTGTCATCTGGATTCATTACTGAAAAGCAAACATTTTATACTTATTTTTATAGACCTCTATCTTAATCTTCTAAATAATAAAACTACCTAAGCTTCATGGATAAAAAATTTTTTCTACCAGAAATAGAGGAATATCAGATGAAATAAATCAAAATATGGTGAAATCACTAGATACAAGACTTCCTAATATTTTGTCTTAAACTACATTTTTAATAAAATGCACCATTACTTCTCAAATAGGAAATACTCAATAGTTTACTTTATTTGGGACCCATGACCAGCCTGTTTGGAACAACAATATAGACCAATGTCTGATTTCTTTTCTTTTTGCAGCACTGGGGATTGAACCCAGGGCCTTGCACATGCTAGGCAAGCACTTTACCACTGAGCTACATCTTGGACCCTTTTTTTTATTTTGAAACAGAGTCTCGTTAAATTGTCCAGAGTGTCCTTGAACTTGTGATCCTCCTGCCTCAGCTTCTTGAGTAGTGGGGATTACAAGTGTGAGTTACCTTGCCTGACTTCTTTAGGATCTTTAAATTTTTAAAAAACAATCTCAAACTTAAAAAGTTGTAATTTTACTGCAAAGAACTCAATTTTTTTCCTGAACCACTTGAGTACATTACTGACCATTATATACCACCTCTGAATGTTTTAACATAATTTTTATAAACAAAGACATTCTCTTAAAAAAAACCCAATCTAGCCACCCAAATCAGAAAGTTAACACTGACACATTACTATCAGTTCAGAGATCTTTAAAGTTCAATGGCATTTCAAATTCAATGACTGTAGTGTAAAATGTCTTAATGATAATTTAAAATATTCAAGCTTACACTTACCCACGTTTCCAGGTAAATTCTAACCTTCTAAAAGTCCCCATGCCAAAAATTTTATGAAGGACTCCTTATTCTTTGTAATGACAAAAGAAAAGATCTCTCTTCCTCCTAGGTATAATTTAGGTCTTTTAAAAGGATGATGATGAAAACAGCTGCTTACCATTTGCTTTCAGAGAAGGAGAAGCTGTCAATGAACGTTAGAACCATCCTGTCTTTAAGGAGTGAAGTGGGTGGGCACTTTCTGAAGAAATACCTCTCAAGTACTAACAATCTCCAGAGGTTTCAGTTACAAAAATGACAAATTATTCTTATCAAAACCAAATAATGCAATTTATATACAAACCCAAATAATGCAAACCCACATTTAATATTTTCTCCCTTCTTTTTTATCCACCATTTCCTATTATAGTTGAGATTATAAAACTCAGCTAAAGCAAAGGGAAAAAGTCAAGATTGAAGCAGTCCTAGAATAAGAAAAAAAATTACTGCATCCTTTTTAATAAAAGGCATTTAAGAAAAATCCTGAAAAAGCTCTCTAAATAAATTTGCAACTGAAATTGATTCTGAAACCTACAGTTAAAATACATATGGCAAATATGCATATGTGAAGAAAAACCTTTGCTCAAAATCTTTGGCAAAAACAATTGCTACTTAGAAAGTGAATTAAATATTATAAATGACTCTACAATAAAAAGCCTTGGATTATATAGTTTGTAAAGATACCCTTAAGGTTCTTAAAACTACATGACATTATAAAATATAATATTACTACAGATGTTTTAAAAAAATTAATATTCCTAACACAAAGATCAGTTTTTATAAAAGCATGAAGTCAGATCTGAATTTCAGCTTCAGCTCTATTAGTTATTGTTTTCTAGGATAACCTACTTATTTGAATAAGACAAGACAAAATAGAGAGACTACTGGTCAGCTCACATGATGGTTCCAAACAAAGTGTCTAGTGCAGACAAGGTACATATCAACTAAGGGAAATTATTTTTTTCAAGCTTCTTCCTATCTGCTTAATTTCTCTTAACCATCATAATATGCCTACAATTTGAGTCTTTCTCCATTTTAATATCAAGTTGAGGAATATTTTTGCAAAATGTATGGGACCAGAACTGTTTCAGATTTCAATGTTTTTCAATTTGGGATTTGCAAAGACCACACCCTAATTTAGAACTCCGAAATACTCTGAAAAATTTTTTGAGTGCCAACCAGGAAACAAAAAATTTGGGTTTTAGAGTACTCTGGAATTTCAAATAAAGGATACTCAACCTGTATAAACATTTCCTTGTTGCTAAATATGTTCATAGTTATCTCTGTATTATACAGAAAACTCTTGCTTCAAATTTTTAGTATCATCTTCACAAATAGGTCATCTTCTGGATTATTTTCTTTGAATAAATTGCTGAGTGGAATTTTTGTTTCAAAGGTCATAAATCTCTTATGGCCTCTGATAATACTATATACCACTAATTTGCTTTTGATCAGGTTTGGTAGTCAAATTAAATGTTTATTCAATTCCAGTTTTAATTTCTCATTTTTCCACAGTTTGTGTTTCTCAAATTGTCTAGCATTGCTTTTGAATTATTTCAGAAACACATTTTTTTATATCATAGCCATGTTTAAGATAAAATCGGGCACTGACTTGAAAAACAAAAGGAATGTTCTGTAACTGTAGCCTTTGGAAAGAAAACAGAAGCAACTTAATCTTGGGCAGAGCTGAAACATGAGAAAGGAAGAGAGCCATTTCAAAATGGCCTGCTAGGTTCGCACAGCTGTGCGTTTAAGTGCAGACTGGAGCCCTATAGACATAGATAGGTACATGGGAACAGGAGAAACAACTCTTGTGATGCTCTTTCTCCCGGAGATCTTTGCAACCTCTCCTTTACTTAAGTAAAGCTATAGGTGTTAACATACAGTTGCTCAATGTTTTTCCTTTTATGGGTAGGTATGTGCCGCCGACCACTAGGAGGAGAGACCTCACAATAATACCACTGCCTACAGAACAGTCTGAACATCTGTGCCTGGCAATTAGTACCACCTCTTCTGTAACTTGATTTTCTAGTGTCCTCTTCTTACAGCACCACTGTCACAGTGCCTAACATGTCCTTTCCCCTCCTATCTTCTACATTCTATCTACACTTGAAGCCACGTTCAAATACAATCTTCACTAGTTTTCTCCTAGTGTCCAAACTGGAAGTAACACTGCCTTTGAACTCTTTTTCTTTTCTTTTTTTTTGGTACCGGGGATCGAACTCGGGTCCTTGCGCCTGTGGGGCAGAAGGTGGCACCACTGAGCTAAATCCCCAGCCCTGCCTTTGAACTCTTAACTGCACCTCATCTGTATCTCTCATCTGGCACTTTATTTTCTACCTGTGCTATAATTATGTACATCTTATTTTCTTGAAAAGATAAACATCTTCAAAGTAGATGTATATTTATTTTCTCCCAAAGCATGTACCATGAATACATTTGTAGTCAGCAAATATTTTTTAATGAATGAATTAAAAGACTATACCAAGGGTATAAAGATGAGTCTTCCTGTCTGTAAAGAAGTTTTTAAGGTCTACATTTGGAGGTTTGGCATGTTTCTCTTCAAAAACTCCAGTTTTGGGATGTTTATGTCTGAAGATAAAATGAAGTTTATAATCTTCTCCGCATTTATCTGGTCCAAACATAATGGTATAAGGTGTTTTATCATAAAAGTTTTCCTTTAAAGAGAGATGAGTGCAGGTATCAGTCCTGAATTACAGAGTATTAAATTATTTTCTCTAGTCTAACCAACCGGCTTGAGTTTACAAAATGTATTAAATGCTAATTTACCAAATAACTATTTAATACAAGTGACAATAAAGGATGTGGAGAAAATGACAAATTTTACTTTTAAAAAGTTTTTTTAAAAAATACTTCCTTCCTGAAGATGTAGATGCCGAAATTACTTTAGCAACATCATAAAAACATGTATTTACCTTATTTTAATCTGTATTGTTACCATTTTACTGAGAAGCATTAGAAGAAAGCATATTTATTACTTTAACACTGAACTGATTATTCATTACTATTATTCAATACCAGAAAATTGCCCTTTTGTGTACAAAATGAACAGATTCAGACACAAAAGTAAATGTAGAGACCCAATCTCTGTAGTTATTTCTCTCTATCTGGCATGAACAGTGGTTAAGAGTATGGGGTCAAGACAGATACTGAAGTCCAAATGCTAGCACTGCCACTTAAACTAGCTGTATGTGGCCCTAAGTAAAATTTAAACCTCTCTGTGTCTCCATTTTATTACCTCTAAAGTACACACAGAATAGTAGTTACCTATAAGGTTTCTCTGGGTATTAAGTCGATCAGATCTGAGTCAATCAGATCAAGTTATTATAGAAATGTTTGGCATTAAATTTTTTTGTCATCCTATCTTCAAGTGATCATTTCTTACATCTAAAATAAGAACTTCAACATATACTACAAATGGCTTGCCTTTCACCAGATCCTAAATGTAAATAGTTAAATGTAAATAGTACCTGAAGTCGATTTTTTTTTTTTTTGGACCAGGGCTCAAACTTGGGACCTTGAGTTTGTGAGGCAGGCGCCGAAACCATTGAGCTAAATCCCCCACCCCTGAAGACAATTTTGAGCCACATTTCATAGCTTATGCACAGTTGTGCAATCTGACAAATATCTCAGTGACATCTCATTTAATTTCTGTTACATGCCAAAACCGACACAGACTACTGCAGGAGAATGCTGTAAGAAATGTCTCTAACCTTCAAATGGTCTTAATACAATCTTTAGTATTATAAGGCTACTTTATCATGAAAAGTTTTTTAAATTATTTATTTTCAGGGGCAAAGGGGAAGGAAGTGGGAGGCCTAGGGGAAAGGATAGAAGGGAATGGGATTAATATGAGAAAATGGAAAAATAGGAACAAAATCTTTGTAAATAGGGAGGACTGGAGGGGTTGGAGGGATGGGCAAGGGTGAAAAATAAGAACCAAGAGAGAATATGTAAACGTGCAAATTTCCAATGATGAATGTCATTATATTGTATACCTAAAATGTACCAATGATTAGAATGAATAATCAATAATGTAAAATAGGACGAAAAGGTCCAAAGGGGTAGGGGTAGTGGGAGGGGCAGGGGAAAGGAAAGAAGGGAAAGGAAAAATGATGAGAAATGGAAAAAATGGAAATAAAGTCTTTGTAAATAGGGAAGGGTGGAGGGTGTGAAGGGAGGGCTAGGAATGAGGAAAAAATAAGAACCAAGATGCATTATGTAAAGGTACAATTCCCAATGAGAAATGTAATTGTGTTGTATACCTACAATGTACCAATAAAAGAATACAAGAAAAAAAATTATTTATTTTCTGTGGGCTGCCAATGCCTGAGTTAATCCACCTTTTTATTTGGTTCTCTGGTCACTTTATTTCAGTTCTTTGCTCTGATTAGCCTACCTCTCTAAATAAACTTATGATTCTTATTTTATAAAGAACTCTAAATTGATATTTCAAAAGCATTTATATGTACCATGTCATTTTAATTACTTAAATTCTTTTATTGATACATTTTAGGTATACAACACATTTACATTTCTCATTGGGAACTTGTACCTTTACATGATGCATCTTGGTTCTTATTTTTTCCCCATTCTTAGCCCTCCCTTCACCCCTCCACCCTTCCCTATTCACAAAGACTTTATTTCCATTTCTCATCATTTTTCCTTTCCCTTCTTTCCTTTCCCCTGCCCCTCCCACTACCCCTACCCCTTTGGACCTTTTCTTCCTATTTTGCATTATCAATTATTCATTTTAATCATTGGTACATTTTAGGTATACAATGACATTCATCATTGGAAATTTGCACCTTTACATAATATCTCTTGGTTCTTATTTTTCACCCTTGCCCAGCCCTCCCTTCAACCCCTCCATTCCTATTTACAAAGATTTTGTTCCTATTTTTTCCATTTTCTCATATTAATTCCATTCCCTTCTTTCCTTTCCCCTACCCTTCCCACTTCCTTCCCCTTTGCCCCTTTTCTTCCTATTTCACATTACTTATTATACATTTTAGTCCTTATTTATACTTTCAGTTTCTCACACCAGAGAAACTATTTGGTATTTATACACATGTGTCCTATTTATTTCACTTAAGAGTACGGCCTCAATGTGCATCCATTTAGCTATAAATGTCTCTAATTTCTCATTTTTTATGGCTGAGTAGTACTCCATTTTATAAAAAAACCACATTTTCTTTATCCAGTCTCCAGTTGATGGGCATTTGGGCTGTTTCCAACTTTTAGCTATTACAAACTGCGCTGCTATGAACATGGGTGCACATATATCACTGTGGTAAATGTCATTTTAAAATTTATAGATGGGGTAAAATTTTTTATTTTGCTCAAGATTACAAAACTAATGACTTCACGTAACCTAGCTTTATATGAAACTTGTAGGCAAATTGTGAAATCTATATAATCTCATGTTGGAAAAAGACATTCAAAGTTCTTTTCAATTTCAGTTGAAAATAAAATTTTCAGTTGTGTCAATTACTCCTTAAAAATACTTACTAACTTTAATAAGGTTTTCTTAAATATTAAAATATCATACCAGAATCAAATCATCAGTGTCTGTTAGGAGTTTAATGTATGCACCTCCACAATCAATACCATCTTGAAAATTTACTTCATATCTAAAGGGGAAAAGAACCATACCACTGATAAGTAAAAATTACTAATTGCTCTTTAAAATCCAATGTATTATTTTCAAGTCATTTAAGTATAAATGTTTTACTTTCCTAGAAAGTTTATATAAAGCATATACCCAACCTATAGGAAATAAGGGAAAATGCTTTAGTACTGCAATACAAGGCATGTTAAAGATGTTTAAAACAGAACAATTATAATCATCTAAAGAAAAGCCAACCTATTTGGTTAACTATTTTTTCCATCAAAAACTGTTAAATTAAGAATAAGATACTTTGACAAAAACTTTAATAGGAAACTTCAAATTCTATTAAGGCAGGCATTGTACATATTCTTTATAAATGAAAAAACAGAAGTCAGAAGCATCACAGTTACAACATACTTCTAAGAAATTGCTGATGATCTTAGATATCTAGATCTAATTTGTCTTTTAGTTCAGCTATGCCTAGGACATGTTAACAAAGTGTACACTTAATAAGCTTCAGCAAAAGATACTCTATAATCTTAATAATATAGGATATTTCAGACCTAACCTAAGCAGTCAGGAAATAGGGGAAATTTTAGCTGTTTAAGAAAACAGCTTAAAAAAGTAAACTAACATGAGAGTCATCTCATGGGTTTACATGTGGTATTCTAAAATGTAGAACTTGACAAAGCTCTTTTTATTTGTTTTTTAAGGAAATGGTTTCACTAGGACAATGAGATATAGAAGAGATTTCTGATAAATTGATAAATTACATGTGACAAAAATGAGAAAATAGCTGTGAAAACAGTAAAACTTAAAAGTTATGTGATTAAAATAAAAAGATGAAAAACAAGTAACAGAAAATAGTGACAATTCTAATAAAGGACTGTAGTTTTAAGCATTATGAAGAAACCTCAGTGACAAGAAGATGAAAAATAGTAGCATATACAATTTGCAGTTTGAACTAAGTGTGTATATTTTGAATTAAAAAGAACAGAAGAAACAGCAAAAACTCAAGTGATTATTTCTGACTTGCAAAACTACAGATGATTTCTCCCTATACTTCTAATATGCTTTATTTCTTAAGCTGTCTAAAGTAATGACTACAAACTTTTTTTTTTTTTGAGACAGGGTCTCTCTATGTTGCCTAGGGTGGCCCCAAATTACTGGGCTTAAGTGATCCTCCTGCTTCAGCCTCTTGAGTGGCTAGGATTAGAGGTACACATGGTGCTGCTCAGTTAACATACACTTTCACTTTTGACTGACATAGGTCATTCTTGATTCTGCCACTTATTCTAGTAAGCATGTTATTGTGCTCTAAGTATCTATTTGCTCATCTCTAATATCCCCATAACACCACCCAAACCTATTCCTTACAGAACTATTAAAATGATTAAAGGGCATCATGCATAATGACAGGCACTTACTTTTGTTATGATCACCAAGGACTTTTATTTTTATTTTTAAAATAAAAGTTTATTTGCTCATTTCAAAGTCTTACCTTTTATTTTAAACAATAGCTGACAAATTTTTTCATGAAACTTACACGTTTTTGAAGACTATAAAGCAGAAGACAGGACATGATGTGACTTAAAGGTCACTATTTTTAGGAAAAATAAAATGAGATACTGGTTTATTATAGGTGACTTAAGAACAAAGGGTTCAGTAAAAAGAAACTAAACAGAGCAATTTTGTAAATTGGCTCTTTAAGTCTAAACACAGCTTTGTTGTCCTACTATGCTTTGACTCAATCACTTTGTCCATTTATTATACTGCAAACTTTCAAAGTTTTTGGGGGGGAGGGTGTACTGGGGATCGAACTCGGGATCTTGTGCTTGTGAGGCAGGCGGCGGAACCACTGAGCTAAATCCCTGGCCCTCAAAGTTTTTAAAACACTAATTTGGGCCTAGTATAAATAATTCATTAATCAGAGAATCAGAAAAATATATATCACATAGCCTGACTGCTGCTAAACTTCAAATCACAGAAAAGCTGAGGACATATGCAGAGTAAATATGTTAACCCTAATTTCTTTGCAGTATCATTTCCCAAACTATTCTATGAAACACTAGTCATTAAGAGAAAAAGTGTTATAAGGTCAGACACATTTGGAAAACACGGCACTAAAGTTTTTATCTGTAGAACCTATAAAAATTTTAATGGGCTAATATTCTTTGTATCTCTTTTTTTCTTTGTATCTCTTCATATAGGATATTTTTAGGTATTAAAATTTATACAACCACATCATATATTCAGGCTGAAGATCCTTTATCTGAAGTGCTTGGTACCTAAAAGTAAGATTTTGGAACTTTTTTGGATTTTGTAATATTTCTATATTACTTGTTGAGCATTCCTAAACCAAAAAATCTGAAATCTGAAATGCTTGGAAATCTAAAACTTTCTGAGAGTCATGTTGGTTCTCAAAAGGTTTTGGATTTCAGAGCAAGATGGCTTACTAAAGGTACCTAGCAAGTTTCTCTCAAAAAACAGGGTGAGGGGGAAAATCAAAGAAAAAATAACTGCTACTTCACTGAAGTGTTAGAATGAGAGTACTGGGTGTTGTAGGATATGGCAGAGATGCAGGAGAGAACCCTTCTCATAAAGAAGAGAAACATACACACACATAAACACACACCGCACCACACCATCTACTGCCCAGTATTCCCAGCTGCGGTGAACCATAAGCAAAAGGGACTCACACAGTGGAGATGAGTGAGCAGAGGGTCTCGCCAGGGCTCACTACTGCGTGGACACCTGAATCACTGTTGCCGGAGATGTCTGCAGCCTTTATGGGGCAAGCCTAGCTTAGGAAACGTGCAGAGAATCCGCACCACTGCGACACCCCCAAAACAGCCCTGCTCGCTCTGTGCCTTCCCTACCTGGATTCCTGCCAGCTGGAGATCCTGCCCATCTGTGGGCTAACAAAGCAGGCGAGTGGCTCTACCCACCGGCCGTGAGCCTAGAAAGCACCACAGAGCCTGCCCTGCGCAGCCTGACCTGCCAAATGCCCTTCCACCAAACAGCCACAACTTTAGACACTGACCCTGCCCTACAGCCAGGGCTGCCACAGCATACCTGCTCAGGGCTGCAAATCTGCAAGACAAGAGAAGAGGGATTTTAGAAACTGTACTCTTACAAATTTTATAAATATGGGAAACTTAACAACATGTTCTCAATCAACCAATTAGTCAATAAAGAAACCAAAAGAAAAATGTAAAAATATCTTGAAACAAATGAAAATGGAAACACAACATATCAAAACTTATAGAATATAGTAAAAGAAGTGCTCAGAGAAATTTATAGCAACAAGTATGCACATCATAAACATAGAAATAGCTCAAATAAACAACCCATCATATTTCATAGAACTAGAAAAACAAAAACCCAAAATTAGAAGAAATAAAGATCAGAACAAAACAAAGATTAAAAATATATAAGTGATCAATGAAACAAAGAGTTCAAGAAGAAAAAATAAACATACTTTAGCTAGACTAACAATAACAACAACTGTAAAAAAAGACATTGGAGCCATACTAGAGAAATACAAAGAGTTATTACAGAATATTAAAAATAAATATATACCAACAAATTTGAAAACCTTAAAGAAAATTAATAATTGACATATATGCCTTTACAAATTTTGAACCATGGAGCTGGGGAAGTAGCTCAGCAGCACAGTGCCTGTCTGGCAAGTGCAAGGCCCTAAATTTGATTCCTAGTACCAAAAAAAAAAATTTTAACCACGAAAATACTGACAACCTGAACAGAACAATAATAAGTAGGTTAAGTCCGTAGTTAACAATCTCTCAACAAAAATGCCAAAGACTGGATGGTTTCACTGCTGAATTGTACCAAACTTTTAAAGAACAATACCAACATCATCTCAAGCTACTCCAACAAAACTGAAAGAGGGAATTCTCCCAAACTAATTCTACAAAATCACCATTAACCTGATATTGTAGCCAGAGAAGGACACACACACAAAAAGAAAACTATAGACTATGCCTGATGAACACAGATGTAAAACTTCTCAACAAAATACCAGCAAATTGAATCCAATAGCATAACACAAAGATCATACACTATGATCAGATGTGATTCCTCCCAGGGATGACACAGATCAATAAGTATTATATAGTATGTAAACACAATGAAGGACAAAAACCTGTATGATATCAGTAGATGTAGAAAAAGTATTCAATAAAATTGAACTTTTTGATAAATACTCTCAAAAAGTTAGGTATAAGAGATATGTAGCACAGGGCCTGGGATTTAGCTCAGTGGCACTGTGCCGGCCCTGCAAGCGCAAGGTCGTGAGTTTGATCCCCGATACCAAAAAAAAAAAAAGAGAGAGAGAGAGATGTAGCACAACATTATAGAAGCTATATATGACATCACAACAGCTAATATCATACTTAATGGGGCAAATATCTAGAGTAAGACAAAGATATGGAACAAGACATTTCTAGTATTATTATTCAATATAGCACTGGAACTATTAACCAGAGCCATTATTAACCAGAGTCAAGAGCAAGAAATAAAAACCAGGCATGGTGGAGGACACCTGTAATCTCAGTACTCGGGAGGCTGAGGCAGGAGGATTGCTGTGAATTAATGGCCAATCTGCGCTACCTAGTGAGTTCAAGACCTGCCTGTTCTACTCATTGAGACCCTATCTCAAAAAACAAAACATAAAAAAAGAGAGAAAGAAACAGATCATTCAAATGGGAAAAGAGAAAGTGACAGTATCCCTATTTGTAGGTAGCATGATTTTATATATGTAAAAACCTAAGGCTCCACCAAAAGTCTGCTCTAACTGATAAATTCAGTAAAGCTGCAATATACAAAAACATACAAAAATCAATAAATTTTTAAATATGAATAATGAACTTGGTGAAAAGAAATCTCATTTACAATAGAAATAAAGTGCCTTGGAATAAATTTAGCTAAGTGAGTGAATGGTCTTTACAACAAAAATTACAAACACTGATGAAAAATATAGAAGAGGACATAAAAAGAAGAAAGACATCCTATGTTCATGGACTGGAAGAATTAAAATTGCTAAAATGTCTATGCCGACCCAAACAATCCAGATTCAAGCAACAGCAAAATACCAATGGCAAAATACCTAAGACATTCTTCATAAAAATACATAATCCTAAAACAAACAGAACTTCAAAGCCCTGAATAGCAAAAGAAGTCCTCAGCAAACAAACAAAGCTGGAGGCATCCTAATAGCTGACCTCTTAAAAACATGCTATAGACCAGTGGAGGTGAACCTATGGCACATGTGCTGCAGCAGGCTGTTATCAATGAAAGCTCTAAAAGGTTCACCATTGCTATAAGCTATAGTAGCCCAAACAGAAAGTATTGGCATGAAAACTGACAAATAGATCACTGGAATAGAAAAGACAGCCTAGAAATAAATCCACATATCTTTAGCCAATTGGTCTTCAATAAAGGCATCAAAAATATACACTGGAGAAAGGCCAATCTCTTCAATAAACGTTACAAGAAAACTGGATATCTACAGGCAGAAGCAATAAACTAGACCCCTATCTCTCAGTATATTAACTCAAGATCAACTCAAAATATATCAAAGACAAACATGTAAGATATGAAACCCTGAAACTACTAAAATAAAACATAGGAAAACGCTACGAGACACTGAAGCATTGACTTTCAGAATAAGACCCCAGAAGCATAGGCAGTAAAACACAAATAGCCATATGGGATTATATCAAACTAAGACACTTCTGCACAGCAAAGGAAAAAACAGAGTGAAGTGACAACCTGAGAATTAACTGAAGTGTGTACCATTAGATACATGGAAATGTGGTATATACACATAATTAAGTATTATTCAGCCAAAAGAAGAATGAAATTCTGTCATTTGGGGCAAAATGGTTGGAACTGGAGACTTAATTATATCAAGTAAAATAAGCCTGGCAAAAAAGACAAATACTGAATGTTCTTACATCTGAAAGCTACAATGTTGATTTTATAGAAAAGTAGAGGCCAGGAAGGGTGGAGAGAAGGTAGAGGGATGCTGGGTAACAGGTACCAAATATACAGAGGAATAAGTTCTAGTGTCCTATAGCACAATAGGGTGACCACAGTTTACAACAATTTACTATGTATTTTATAAATAACCACAAGAGAGGAGTTGAAGGGTTTCCAACAACAAAAAAAGAGAAATGTTTAAAATGAAAATGCTAATTACCAAGAGTGGATCATTACATAAATACAGTGTACCCTATAAATACATGTGTTTTAAGTTACTTTCTTTTCATTGCTAAGACAAAATTCCCAACACCCAAATTTAAAGGGGAAAGGGTTTATCTGGCTTATAGTTTGTAGAGATTTCAGTCCATTGTCCTCTGGCTCCAAATCAGGGTGGCAGGGGGCAATAGTTCATGATGTGGGAAAAGAGCAAAAGCAACAAGGGCCCTTAAGAGCTTCTTTCTGGCCCTTTCATCTTATTCAGACTACTTAGGGTGGGCAGCATTCACACCCTTAATCCTACTGCACTCAGGCCTAGCCCCACCATGAATCAAGCACGCACTCTAGATTCAGCCATCTCTGAAAAACCATGAAGCTTTGGCGGGACATCTAAACACAAGCCATAACACATGTAATTATAAAAATTAAAGTTGAAATTTTAAAAAGGTGTTGAATAGAAAAAAAAAAGATTATAAAATTGCAGCCATATAAAAGAGGCTGAAAAAGTTTCAAATTTCAGAGCATTCTAGGTTTCAGATTAGGCATGGTTAACCTGTATTAATATATACACAATTGGCAAAAGTACATTGGAGTCTAGATGTATCAAAAATCCGTATTATTTGTAGTGTTCATTTTATTTAGCCCATTTGAACTTATCACTATTGGAAGACACTCTCCTTTCAATTACTTTTAAGCATATGAAAAATTGAAATTTCTGACTGTTAAAGTAAATTTTTATACTTATATTCTAATCTTACTTGCCTACTAGTAACTCATACTGAAAATACCAAATTTGATTTATTTTACCCTGGAGAAGTTAAATTGTATATCACTTCCTTTTACCCTTTGATTTAAGCCACAAGTGGCCAAAATAGAAAGTAATATTGCATACACCTAAGTTTCAAAAAAATAAGATTAATTTCAAATTCTCAAGGCAGTTTTTTAAAAGCCAAATCCTGAATAACAAGGCCAAATATTAGTTCAAATAAGTACCTGTAACAAAATTTTTAATTTGTTCAAATAATGGTCACATATTCTTTGACGTATTTTAAAGTCAATGAAATTATGTAATATAGATTTAGCCAAAGTGTCACAAATAAATATTAAGCCAATTGTACCAAACGCAACACTTTCAAAAACCTCTAAAATACATGATGTTGTTTTAGTTATACCAGGTAAGAACATATTTAACATATTAAAGAACTGAAGGTGCTCTGGAGGGACCGAATGGTATTTATGTATGTCTAAATTAACTCTGGATAGTCACAATTTCTGATATAAAGCAGACAATAACATTTCTACATTTTCTTCTTTTTCCAATTTGAATGTCATAGGTCTTCTAATTATGCTTGCATACATTTATTTGTTTTCCTAGCAGTACAACTGAAATCAGCTTGAGGACTTTATACCTGATTTTCCAACAGTACACATGCAAGCAGCCTCACTAGCTCATGTCAACAATGGGAGAAGAGAGGAATGTCTGTAATAATATGAGACTTTTAAAAGGGTCCACGCTTGAAAGACACTGATCTACATTACACATTTCCCTTTTAAAATAAAATTTCTGCCTTTAAATCTGTGTGTGTGTGTGTGTACGCAGTGCTAGGTATCAAACTCAGAGACTTGTGCCTACTAGGAAAGCATTCTACCACTGATTAACCCTCCACCTTTAAGTCTTATCACCAGTTTAACAACATTTGTGGTTCCACTCAGAATACACACAGATAGTAATATCTCAACAGCAAGTAATTTTAAGAAAAGTTAAAAATGGTGCTCTGTGTACTATATAGTTTACAGTGACAGAATTATATGTTTTAGAGGATATTCTACAATTTTATCATTAACCTGTTTTTCATCAAAAAACCTACATGTATATGTATTTGTACATCAAAATCCAAACCACATCTAGATGCCAAATTATACCAAACTAATATGAATTCAGAAAAAGTATCCAAAAACATAAACTTACTGAACTACCAAAGGTTTATCAGTAAAAATAAAGGGTTTTGCTAATACAGTCGATATTGCATGATGCTGTGCTCTAGATTTCAATACCAGTCCTCTGTCACCAGGTACCTGGTTTTCTTTCAACTCTTCTATTTCCCATCTTCCTAGAAAATAAAGCAAAATGCATTAAACTGAAACAGAAAACACTGCCTTGAGAATTATTTATCAGTAGTTATAAACTGTAATTTTTTTCTAGGAGGAGGATTTGAGAAAAAAATCACAAATTTGTAGTAGAATCTGAAATTTTATGTATAGTTTTTCTTTCTTTTTTCCTCCTCTTCAAAAAATGGTTTAATAACAAACACTATCGTATCTGATTAAGGAACTTCTAAAGCTGGACGAGTCTGATTTTCTCTCTAAACTTTTGAAATAATTATAAAATGTGATTCCTCCCTTAGGATCTATCAACATTGAATTTTTAAAATGAAATATTAAAACTGCATATGAGGGGGGCTGGGGATTTAGCTCAGTGGTGCCGCTGCATGCCTCACAAATGCAAGGACCCAAGTTCAATCCCCAGTACCACAAAAAAACCAAAAAAAAAAACTGTGTATGAAAGTGTTCCTTAACACAAAATGAACTGTTTGCATCAGTCTAAATTTCCTGTTTTTTGAAATGCCTGTTACCCATCAGCTGATTTTCTTACAGCATTACAATACTTTATTTTGAAAACTGTGTATTTCATTCACACAATCCCTTCCCAACCCGTGCCAGGCAGCTCTCACAACTTTGGGCCAGGAAAGCCCAAGATGAGGCCTAAACAACTAGGTAGCAGAGACGCCTGGTCTGGGCTGGAATTTCCTGTGTTTAAGATCACAATGGTCCTATAATCAGTCATGGGCTCCAGAGAATGTACAGCCAAGTAGGCTACTCCCAGCCCAAAAGTTGTTTGTTGGACTTTACTCCTTTATTCTTTTAAGAATCATAAGCCAACTTACATTAATTTGTATAAAGCTTAGTTTTGAAAATTATAGCTATTGTCTATAAATGAGTAAACAATTCAGCAAAAAACTTATTTTCTAGTATTGTGTCAACTCAAAATATTAATTAATGGGCACTTTTGAATCACTAATGCTTTTCTTATCTTAAGATAAGAAAAACACAACAATCCAAGAACCAGAAGTCTTATGAATCAAAGAGTGATTTTTGGTCTATCACTGTGTACATGTAGTTACTGGATTTCTAAAAATGCTTAAAAAAATTTTTTTTCAGTTCCCTGGTCCAAATGGGTTATACTTTTTTAAAAGACAAATTTATTTATTTGGTTTTTACTCTCACATTAACATCCTTATAATTACTAACTCCTCTGAAAGTCTTAATTTAAGTAACAATTTTATTTTTTAGCTTTTCAAGATACTGATAGTAAAGGATTTTTAAAACTATATTGTTTTTCTTGCAATTAATATACTTATCAACTCTGAAAAATGATAACTTACCACTTTAATTTTAGAAAATAAGATGATTTCTCATCAGAAGAGTTTTTCCCTATTTCAAATAAACTATAACTTTCTATTAACCAGATCATTTATCTAAATTTTAGAATATTAGTTAATGTAAATTTCCTTGTAAATAGAATTTTACAGAGAATTTGCATGCCTTTATAAGGTTTCCTGAAAGTTGGCCAATTAAAGAACTGGAATTTATGATTAAATATCTATACTTATTAATAATGATCTGAAAATTCTAACTACTTCTCCAAGTGCACAATTTATATACCAGCAATTCATGTTTCATACATATCTGCTTATTCCTAAAACACTTAGAATGAACTCTATCCAGGCGGTACTGGATAAAAGCTGTGCTTAACTACTGTGAATACTAAACGATCTTGCAAAGAAATATGATATTGGTCTCAACTCTGTACTACGTAGACAAACACTGCTAATGTCAATATCCAAAGCATGATATTCAGAACCTGAAACTTTATTAATAGATGCCATATTTTTCAAAGTTGCTTTTAAGAAACTGAAAATATCAGCCAGAAATCACAGCTAAATGTAGTATGCTAGAAAATGTTTTTGTGGTAGTCTTTAAACAGTAAAGAAATATTGCAAAGTCATGGAAAGAATATATAGAAGGTTATGTCACTCAGAGTTCCAGTCCTTCATCTACATACTTCTCAGGTAATTGTATGATATTTATGAGCACTATGCATTTGCAAACCCAGAAGAATCTTCCTATTTGTTGAAATAATTTAAAGAAAGTTATTTACTTGAATATTTAATGTTTAATAAGACAGCAGGTTAAACTTGGCTACTTTAAAGATATTTGCTTTACCTTGCCTGTTTTGAAATTTTAAGCTGGGGGAAAAAACTGAAACATGAAAAGCCATTTTTATCTAGTAAATACTTAAAACTCACCTTTAAAATGGAACATTTCTTAATTTTAGGGAAACTCTATCAGTGGATTCTTATTAAATATAAAGCAAATATTCTCCCAGTGTTCTTGGAAAAACCTGTAAAGTGCCTAAACACAGCTACCTCAAGTCAAGCTTTCTGTATGATATTGTATATTGTGTTTGTGTAGACTTATTTTAGGCACCACTTATCTCCACAGACTCCCTGCTTCTCTGGGAGAAAAAATTCTTTGCATTACATGAATTTAGAATGAATGTAGGCCATGTTGCTTGTTCACTGCGTATGGCTATGTTCTTTTTGGAGTTCCACAGGCATACACAATGGAGGGATTTGCTTGAGGGAACAACACTGTGCAAAGAACATATGCAGGCATGGTCTTTATCTTAGACTGAAACAGAAACTATGAAAAGAAAGTAGACAGGCAACATCCAGCACATGCTATTATCTGTTCCTCTGTTGTTTTGCTGCAACTGCCTGCTGGGGTCTGAGTGTGAGGTCCCATGCTTATGGGCAGGAGGCCCTCTGAGAAATCTCACTATCACACATCTTGAGAAGAGGCCAATCTTCCCTTCAGGATAATACAACTGAAAGGCTAGTTTTAGACTAGAAGGAAGAAATTCTTCTGTCATTCTTGAGGGTGGTCCAGTTAGGGAGGAAAAGATGACTCTTGCATAGGGGACATTTCTTTATACAGCTAAGCCTGAAGATACTGCTATCAGAGACCCTGTATTAATGGATGCAGGCCTGCTATCTTCTACCTCTCATTAACTAACTGGCCTCTGGTACTTGATAGAAAAATCTTGCTGGAAATCATAGTTCAATCTAGGTGTGCCCAAGATGAAGTGAAAACATAAAGACCAGCAGGAGTGTAAGAAGTGCTGCTTCAGAAAATGCAAAAAACCAACTGCAAGGGAGTGAAAATCCATCTGTTTAGAATTAGAAAAGGGGATGGTGGGTGGCCTGTTTCTGGAAGGAATTTCCCGAAATATTGAAAGGGATAAGATAAAAGTCTGAACATTTTACAGTGAAGCAGGAGAGGGCCTCTGGCTAACGTCATTTAGTCAAAGTATCTCTAAAGCAATTGAACCCTAGATATTGGGTATAATATTTAAATATTTTACCATCATATAGAGACATCACAGCATCCATATCATCTTTCTTTGCTTTTGATAAGACCCACCTGCAAGTAAAGTTGAAAACATGTTTATCTTGAAAAATAAAACTAGCCATTTATAGATACAGTGCATACTAGAAACACAAAAGATTACCCAAGCTAGTTATTTTTCATTCAAAAATAAATTAATATTTATGAGTTCAATAAGGATGTATAAATAATCCTACAAAGTTAAACTAAATTTGGAACCTTCAGTTTGCAAGCTGCATGACCACAGGTAATGCACACCATGCCTCGATTTATTCACCTTTAAATGGTAATTAAATATAGTACTTATCCCCTACTCAGGACAGCGTCTGGCATATAATAATAAATACATCTTAACTTTTATTGCTTTGCCATTATTTAGGTTGGAAAAGTAACTCAAGTTTTTCTCCTGGGCTTACATTGTTAATATTTGTCCTAGAGAATAAAAAAATTGTTATACTTTTTCTCTTTACATTTGGAATTTATTTCTATCTCTTTTTATATAAATGAATTTCAAATTAAATATTTCTACCTAGGGCCAGGGATTTAGCTCAGTGGCACTGCACCTGTCTTGCAAGCGCAGGGTCCTGAGTTCAATCCCTGGTACCAAAAAATAATATATGAAGTATCAGTTTACACTGTTAAAGTCCTTGAAAAGTTTTTACACATCTGAAGAATAGCTAATTCTCATAGGCCAATAACCAGTAACTTCAAAAAAGCTAATCAAATCAAGGACAACATTCTCTTCAATGAATACTCACCCAGCCAAATTCCCACTATCAAAAGTTTCTGTAAAATATACTTCTCCTACGGGTTTAGGTGTCTTATAGTTAATCTAGAAAATAGAATTTTAAAAATCTACAGTTACTCATCTTTGCAAATATGTTAATTAAATAATCTTGTGAATTAAGAACCCAATAAATGACACACATATAGATAATATAGCTATGAAGTGATACAGGCTCTGATCTCAAAACTTTGTATACTAATAATGGTAAGATACACAAGAATATAATATATACCATGATGACAAAATTACTGTATGTCCAAACAGAGGACACACTGACCTCTCCTAACATCAGGGGCTGAGAGGAATCAGAGAATGTCTGATAACACATTTGTTGCCCTTTTGCGTTCTCACAAAAGACAGTATTTGGGGATAAAAATCATGAGAAGCAAAGGTAACAAAAATCATGTAAAATGAAAAGCCTGGCAAACATATAGGCTAATTTAAAATTAATTCATATTTCACTGTAGGGTGACAGAAAAGTAGTGCTGCAAAGCAAATCTCAGCAAAACACTCCTTCAAGTGCTATGTGAGCACTGGATGCCATGACAATGACACTGCTGGTAGTAGTGGTGCTGGTGGTGATATGGTGACTCCTAATCCTTCTAGGAGGGAAGTACATGTGATCAAACTGCGGGAAAGCAGCAAAGTAACTTGCCCACTGCCAATGCTAGATAACTGCAGCACTATGTATGACCTGAGATTGTGTTTCCATACACTTAGCCATGCTACAATATACAGAACTTACCAACTCAGTAACTCGAAAGATTAATTTGCTGACAAATCATCAAAAGATAACCTAAACTGATGATAAATGAATAACATTTTGCACAGAGTAACAAATCAATCTGATCCCTTCTGAATTAGCCTTTGGTGATTTATACCTGTAAGATTAGTTACAAGATTTCTTCTCTGCCTTTAAAGGAAAGGACACAGAAGTCCTTTTTCTATTTTCATCATCCCTCCCCTGACCTGCCAGTACAACATTTCCCATCTGTTTAAGGGAAGAAAAGCAGTCTTTAAACAAAACTCCACTTTATTACTGAAAGGGTCAAGGTTCAGTAATCAAAACTGCCAGTCTTCTCTGAAGTTTACTGATTCACAACTTTATTCTCTATATTTTTGCAGTTTGGCAAAATGGGCGATGGTGTCACAAGAGCCTTCTTTCTGTTAAACCACCCTTAAAGTCACCAACAGTTTGTTTTGTCCTTTAGTACTTTGCTATCTCTTGATTATTAGTGTTATTAAATTAGAAACATTAAAAATTGTTCTTTTCCACTTCTTAGCATCTTCTCAATTTATCACCAAGTAAGGAGTGGTATGTGTCAACTTCAAATATGAACCTCCAAAGACCCTTGTAGTAGCTATATCTGAATCAGTTCTTAGCAACTTGAGCACTTACTTTGTAGGTCAGAGAACCAGATTTTAAAGGAAATGGGCAAACAACTAAATAACACATACAGTATCTGGAAAAAAAGTCAATGCAAGTAGATTATGACTCCCCTTGGCCCTTTAACAGTGGCTGGCACAACAACACTGAAAACTTTTCTGCTTGTCACAACATTAGGTCCGAACGTTCCTCAATGTGAAAGCTCTCATGGACTTGTTAAGGTGTACCAGTATCTCCTTAAAGTACCCCAAAACATGCATCTTAACAATGCTGAACCAGAAAGGTGGTCAACCTTTTTAAATACCTGTCCATCATCACTTCCCTTTCTAATTCATCCTTCTTGTTAGCATCTTCTTTCTTCAGAGAAATAAAGCTACTTACTTTATTCCTTGAAGAACCAAAATATTACTTTTTATTTTATCTGAGGAGGTCCGTCAGAAATAAAACTAAAAACTTTACTTTTTGCTAAAGTACTTAGTCCTCAGGGACCGGCCCGGTGAGACAAGGCAAGCAGCTTGGGGTTCCTGCAGCCATCCTGGGCCACGCCCACGACACGGTGAGGTCCACTTAGCCACGGGCGACTCCAACGCTCAGTCCTCCCCCAACCCTCCGCCCCGTGCACCGCCTACCTTCTGGCTTTTTTGCTACCTGGTCCCACACTACAGAGGCACAGGAGATTATAAAGACCCTTGTGCTGAGCGCCACAAGATAGAGGAGAAGTTAGTAACAGAAAGAGGGCCTCTCAGGCTCCTCGATGAAAACTGAAGCTCAGCAGAAAGGTAAAGAGAATCTCTACAATAAAGGCACATCAGACCAATGTACTTGGTCTGCTGCTGGCTTGCTGAGACTCATTGACTTGTGTATGCACAGGGATTCCTACGTGGCCTACTGTGACAGCAGAGACATACCCTGAAGGAGGCCCATAATTTCTATTGCTATTTGCAAAAAAGAAAAAAAAATTTTTTTTCTTATTTTTAATTCTTAATTTTTACTTTTTTCTACTCTTCAAAGTTGTACTTTTCTTTCTTCGCTTTCTTTTATCTTTTCTTTCTCTCACTCATTCTCTCACTGTCCCACATTGCTCCTCATGTCCCTATTTGTTCCTTTCAGCACTGAATTCGGATTTCTCCCTTACCGTTCTTTTCTTCTCTTGATTATCATTAGGTTTAAAGGAAAGTAAATTTGGTATCTAGCCTCCCTGTTGCTGTTAGGTGGTTCTATTTACATCTTTGTTCTTTCATTCTGCCATTTCTCTTGCCTTTAACAACTTCTTAGAGTTTGTGTGATCTTTCTGTGTCTTCTGGCCTCACCGCTAATCTTACCTGTTCTTTCTACCTGTCCCTCCCTCCCCAACTCCTTTTAGCTCCCCACCCCGAAGGGGAAAGATGCTATACTGAAGAGTTTATTCATTATAAACTTACGTTAGGTTGGTCCTTGGTTTTAATTTAACTCACATAGTTAAAAGTGATAGATTAATAACTACCACAAAGTGTCATTTTCTAAACTGTGCTTGATGCTATGGTATTGCTGACTATATCATTTGGGCTAACATGTTGTGATTGATCTAATTAGTTTTCCTTCCTGGTGTAAGAAAAATATAATAGCTTCAGAGTCATTAGAGTCTCAAAACCCAAACACAGGCCATATCTAGAAGACACCTCTGAAAAGCAATCCATTCCACAAGGGTTTTTAAACACAAGCGACAAGGATACCTACATTAAGCAATCTTGAAATTATCAACCCAGGAATTAAATCAAGGACAGTACCAAAAACAAAAATGAGAAGACACTTAAACAAGGCACAAACGCAGGCTTCCACGCCACAAAAAGGAAATTCTGGGGGAAATGAGGTGGAAAACTGTGATAAGCAACCACTTGGACACCCTGAACTGATAGCACAGGAAGTAATAAAGCAGATACATGAGGCTCTAGAAAATTTCAAAACAGAAATAATCTCCCAGATAAATACGGACATGGTGAGCAGAGTGAAAGACATGATTAGAAGCTCTAGAGCAGAAACAGATAAGAAAATAGATGAGATCAGAAACATGCTGGAAGCCATGAATGCCCAGCATAAGAAAGAAATGGAAAACATGATCACTC